AACTGTGCAAGCAGTCTGTCCACTTGGAAATGCATGTATATTATACATGATATAATGATGTCTCAGCTATGGTGTGCCACGTGGGTCCATCACTCTATATACGAAACAGTATACTTTAGTGGAAGAGCAAACATCTTGTCATAGCTTGCTCTGTTATTATAATATAACATTCACCTCTTTCTGCACGTGGCACAAAAACGAGCAAAAACAAGGAATAGCGATTGTTAACGTTGCAGCAATGACCCTCGGCGCGCATGCGCAGCGAGGGTTACCCTGTCTGTCTGTGTCGACGCTTATTCTGGCACTATTGGCTACGAGGCGGCGATCAACGCGAGCCTGAAAAACAAAAGGGCGATTTTTCTGAGATAATATGCTGTGAAAACAAGTGCACTGCGACCTGGCTCGCTCCTGTGTACCTTGGGGGCTCAGGAAGTCACACCAAAATTGTATATATGTATCGACTCCCGCATGCTATCTACTACTGTAATAGCCAGTGTCAGACTCTCCAGTTCACCGGGGGTTTGCACTTCAGTGTTTTTCATATTAAATCTGGCTAGAAAACTATAATGTTAAGCTAACCAAACATACATGCAGGAGAACACTTTCAGAACACTGAAGCTCAGTTTTGAGAAAACACACCATTGCCGCAATTTAAGCTTGGCTATATCACACTCTTGAGCTGCTATACTCACTCACTCATCGCCTTCGATTGGTTGACCTTCATCAACTGCTGCCACTAATGATGTTCCTCGAAATTAGTGACATACTTTAGTACATTTCGACTATTACCAGATTTTACGTTTTGTTCAGGCCAAAGTCGTTCAGCGTCCTATGTGGAATTGAAACGCAAGTTTTAGTTGCAACCAATAACTCTACTTGAAACTTCTACTTTGATTACCTCCCTCGCCTTTGGAACTCTCTCCCTCCTCTTGACATGAGTCAATCACTAACAACTGTATATATTAAAGATAGCTACACTCTACAAACATTTTGGAACCATTTCACTACAAACTTTGATCCCGACAATGAATGCTCTTTCCACTATATACCTCCGTCCTTGTGTGAAATGCAGCTCACTCCCAGTCTCCTTCAATTTTGACTCTTCTCTCCTCTAATTAATTACTGTATTTTATTAGGCTGCTGGTTTTTACCACCATCAGAGTCAGCACCGATTCACATTTCATTTGCCCTGTCTGCTATATACTGTCACCTCACTAAGTGCTGTAAAGTTATAATAATAATAACAATAATAATTAATTTTCACACCTGCCCCGATCAATGATAATGTGAGTTTAATTAAAACAGCTATGTGTACCTTTCTATGCTGGTGTTCTGCAAAGCACTATAGCAAGACAGACAGTGAATATCTACTGTCCGATACTCGGGTGAGCAAAACTAACGCTAGCCTAGTGTAACGCAAGAGGGCTATAATTTAAGTACGGTCATGCGAATCATGTGCGCATGTGCAATGAGTAGATGAACGGAGTGTGACCATTAAGGGCGTGTCCGCCGGGTAGGTCGCTCTGCGCTCTACTCCTCCTCTCCGATGGCAGGCCTGACTTTAGTGCTGAATTTGACTTGCTCCACAACGGGAGAGTGTGCCGATGCAGACCTAAAGCTAAAGAGTATCCCATCAGTTGGCCTCGACCTCAAGAGAGAGATCGAGCTTTCCCAGGAAATCCCTGTTTTTGCATAGACACTTACATACGGCACCGGGGAATCTTGCTCAGCCGAAATAGCCGACGACGATGCCATCACTAACGCCGTTCTCCGACATGGTGACAGACTGAAGGTATCTTACACCTCGAGAGCTGAGTGTAAGGATGTACAGAGTGTGGTGGTTTACTTGGAAAAATTGACGACTTCGTTCCGACAACAATTCCCCACTGCCAACGACGCCTCTCCTAGTGCTGTACTGCTGAATCAGGCCTTTAGTGGAGGGATTACTCAACTTCTCACAACCATGAGAACTCACATCACAAACTGGAGAGACAAGCAGCCGTGGAAAACGAAGTAACACGATTTTTGCTTGGAGAGGCTATGACAACTCTCTGCAAGTAAGGTTTTATGTCACTGTCAGTCTATTATAGTTGTTTCATTTCACTAATAGTCTCTGTGAGGTACATGAGACTCATGTGAGAGTTGGGTCCAACAGAGAAGCTCTGGAACAGTTGATCTGCATAGCCCACTCCTCTTACTACGACCATTGGCATGCTCAGGTCATGCTCAACCTGATGGTTTGTCTGGCCCATTCCACTGAGGTACACCCCCACTTAGCTTCTGACGACATTGTTGGAGGCATCGTTGACATCTGTGCCTTTCGACGAGAGTGTGCAGACTGCAGTGGGATTGAACTGATGCTATTAAGGTCAGCAAGTGGTTTAATTCTTTTATCCCCTCTGCATTTATCAAAACAATCTCTTGAGAAATTGGACAGCTTTATGGCTGAAATTCTTACAGATGTGGATCCTCTTGCCTTGGCCAAACAATAGCAGACCTCTGGAACCTTTTGGTCTGTGTTCGAGCCATTTGTGAGTCTTCTGTATGTCCCCAAGGCCCCACTTGCTAAGAGAGGCGTGGGCAAACAAATACACTTACTGGAGAGACTCGGTTTTCCTCCGTACATTCGGCCCTCATAGTCATAATCAGCAGCTTCACAGATTGGCACAACTCATGCAACGAGAGAACCTAGTACCGTTTTTAATCCTCGCCCCTTCCCATGTCCCCACGTCTCTGAAACCACAAGTGGTTCTTTGTCTGGGACGTTACATTCCCATCAATCCACCCACTCTCGCCAAGGCTAGTGTGGCCAACTATCAATTTGGACTAAGGAGAATGCTGCACCTAGTTAGTCCACATGAACTGGTTGACGAGTACTGCATTGTCCAACTACTGGTGTCTCAGTGTGCATGTGTAATCAAATAATATGCGGGGCGATAACTTTTATCCCTCAAGTACACCGCAACTAACTCGTAGCCATAATTCGCTCCTTCTGCCACCAGAAATTGGATAGCTGTAGGCCAATTGCATTTTCAGAATATTGTTCCAGCGTCAAAAGAAAGTTGCATGACTTTTATTGCCATTGAGGGGGTGAAACCAAGTATAGGTCCTAATGTTTTAGGCAAAGTGCCTGACATTTTGAGGTCCCCAGAAATTTGGGAACCGCGCTAAACCACACATGTAGTTCCGTTGCCTAGACGAACGAAGCAAGCCTTTCGTTTCAATGACGAGCGGTCGGGCGCTGTACATACCGTAATGTTGTACTCGCTCGCCAAACGAATTGCCTTGTAAACATAATCCTCATTCAATGTCAAAACAGAGATCTGCTTTTATAAGGGTAAGGCACCAATGGGAAACGAATTATGCAAGTATTTGCAAGCGTTTCTCTTGGGAGGGGTAGCCACTGATTATTCAGAAATTGTTGCAACTGGTCAAGAACGAGACTGTTGTAACCAGTTTTGGGTGGGAAAATCTACCTTGAAACCGCCGGATGCAACAGATTGCGCATGCGTTCTAAAGCTTTTTGGCGCATGCGTAAGAATGTAAGACGACCCCTATCAAAGTAGGTAGCTAGATGGCTTGATGGAAAAGTGGACGCTACACAATAGACCAGTTTCACGAATGCAAAAGTATGCATGGCACGTAAAGTGGGTGGAGATAATTGAACGTGACGTCACATCCGGAGTTCCGTTCTGGCTCCAGCAATGTATTGCGTTCTAAGGAGAAACTGGAACCGTCCGTACTTAGAGCGGCGCAGCACGTAGCGCTTACGGTATGCTCTATTTATAAGCTACTTTCGCGATATTACAGTAACTGTAGTATGCGTGAGAAAAAGAACGGACACTCTAGCTTGTTCCTGCGCTGAGATCTGGGCTGAGAAAGGATAGTTGTTAGCATCATGACTGGAAATCGATGTGTTCTGTGTGGCTCTACACGTGCAACAGACCCTGGAGCCTCTTTTCACCGTTCCCCGGCTGAAAAACGGCGAGAGCGAGGTGGATTGCAAATCTACAGCTAGGTGCTGACGCCATATTCTCGGCTGTGTAGCCGACGCTTTCCTGGTGGAGACCAGAGCAAGGAGCCTCAGCATAACCTGGGAAAATAGGCGCCAGGGTCTGTTGCACGTGTAGAGCCACACAGAACACACAGAACACATCGATTTCCAGTCATGATGCTAACAACTATCCTTTCTCAGCCCAGATCTCCGCGCAGGAACAAGCTAGAGCGTCCGTTATTTTTCTCACGCATACTACAGTTACTGTAATATCGCAAAAGTAGCTTATAAATAGAGCATACCGTAAGAGCTACGCGCTACGCCGCTCTAAGTACGGACAGTTCCATTTACTCCGTAGAGCGCAATACATTGCTTGGGCCAGAACGGGACTCCGGATGTGACGTCACGTTCAATTTAAAACTAATGCATTCCTTGTGCCGTTCGTGAAACTGGTCTATTATAGCTAAATTTTGCCCGACAACAAAAAACGAAATTATAGACCCTCTCATCTACAAATTGTGGCGCAGTGTTGCTCCAGGCTTGTTTGGACGGCCGGGCCGCGTTGTCACTTGCAGACTCATGGCCGGAGATATGCTACACGCGACGTTTAGCGCGCGCAGTGGTCACGCAGCTGGAGCAAACATGTGCGTGGGTTTTCCTTCGTGGGTGGATAATGAAACTGACTCCCTCGAGGGTATGTGAGGGCTGGTACCGAGACTCAAGGCCATAACCATACTGAAACTTATAAACTGGCGATAGCTAAACCAGTTAGATAGCTACCTGTACAAAGCTGCTTAGCTAGTTGCGCGGTAATGTTACCTGAAGACGCTGGGTCTGGAGATGTTGGCGATGAGATTTCTTCCAGAGATCTCATCTGCTTGTTGCCGAACGTCAGCCGCATGCACACGACGCCCCAGTACTGGGACACTCGTGCTCACGCAGTGGCCGCCTTCATGTCTATTTTCTTTGTCGTTGCTCTCGTCTGGAACTCTATTATTATCTACTCTATGGTGAGGTCTCGATCCAAACTTCTCCGTGCCCCAACACACGTCGTGTTATTTTCTCTGGCAGTCAATGACTTGCTTCTCACAGTCCTAGTAATGCCCGTCTCGATCATCACTACAATAGCCCAGGACTACCCTTTTGGCAGCAGTGACTATGTTCGCTGTAAGGTCTGCCAACATGGCGGGATTTTCTCTGTTTTGTCTGTGAGTTCGTTACATCACATCGCGCTACTCTCGCTGGACAGGTTCTTGTTTATATACATGCCCATGAGCTACAGGACCCGGGTCACCAGACGGAAGATGTTTTTTGCTCTCCTTGGAGTGTGGCTCATATCCATCATCATTGGAATCCTACCACTTTTTGGCTTTGGAGCTATTGGATACTCAAGTTCTATTGGAACGTGTGGCAATATTTCACGGCGAAACCCACCTTACAAAGAATATCAACTACGTTCTACTATTCTTTGTGGAAGCTCTCATACCAATCACAGTCATAGTTGTGTGCAACATTGGTCTCCTCTGTACAGCCAGGAAACACTTGAAAAAACTCAGGGCTGCTAGAAAACAGATGTTCAGAGCCTTTGCTAAGAACACAAAGTTGAGCGGTGCTGCTGAATCAGAACTTAACCGGGAACATAAACAACAACAATTGCAGCTTTTTAAGGTGTTTACTGCCATATTCATCGGAAACCTAATAACATGGATACCAGTCCTTGGTCTTGCCCTTGCCTCCCAAGTCATTGATTTCGACAAAGTTACATCTGAAGCTATTGCATTTGTGTACATGACCTACATATCGTATGCACTCATTCATCCCATTCTGGAGTCCTGGTTTATGGGTTGACATAAGAATGGGAATTAAGAAAATTGTCTGCTGTGCCTGGAATGTTAAGCAATACCGAATATGTTCTTACACTGATATAAGGACCTGTAAAAACCCTGTGTGCTCAACTCTGCTGTGTATGGTTTCGTGCAATCAGACAAGAAGAAAGAAAAATTGGTCCAGCAGCGAACTGGATCACTCCATGAGTGTAACAAGTGCTTCCACGGATATTGGGACTAGCACAATATAGACAGTTATTTCTCTGACATTACTTTATGCGATTCACTTGTCTTATGTATTATACAATGTGTAATAGTTAATGTACGGAAGTCAGTGCTGTGCGCGTAATAATGGTACGAGGGGCGTGGTCGAGATAGTCATACAGCACGAGGCGCAGCCGAGTTGCTGTATGATCTATCGAGACCACGTTCCGAGTACCATTATCACGCGCACAGCACGTGCTTCCGTACATTAAGTAATTTATTGTATGCGTGGGCGATTCAAAAGGCGGCGAGCAGGAAAACCGGCGTTCAGAACGGAAGAGAAGATCGACGAGAAGCTCGCGGAGCGCCCTTCCAGCAGCGGTTTGTGTCACCGTCTGAGTCGACCTCCGTCTAAGAAAGGCCGCCGAGGCGTCATTCCCGCAAAGCGTACGCTAGTCCGCGGAGTTCGTGTGATATAGTACAGTTCCGCGCGATATAGTACAGTTCATTCAAAAACCGTTCTGTATGATGAATATAGTACTGGCGGCGCCTTTGATTCGCCCACGCAAAATACAATAAGTTTACATAGAGTAAAATTCCAATGTCAATTTTTGTTGTGTTTCTGTGTGGGGTTTGGCATCAAAACAACTTCAGCCTGTTTGTGCTTCAGTTATCATGGGAATTATGAAAGTGGAAGCTATGGATGTCTACCTAATTAGCATTAACTAATACTTCTTTTGCTGCATTAAACTTACTGACAAGTTTATATTGGTTTATTTTCAGACTTTGAGTCCCTTATATCAAGAATTTCATGTCAGTAAATTTATTTCAAGTATTGACTTTTGCAATAATTATGATGATGGGACCAGCGGCCGGTTGAGGAGTCCTTAAGCCCACTGATGGCGATGGGACAGAGTCCAGTCGGCCACTCTGTGTTTCTTCTATCTCTCTACCTCTCCCTCTGTTTCATTTTATGTGTGCACCTTTACTGGTGTGTATGACAATAATATAATAATAGGGTTACAAATGGCTGTATAATGCTTATTAGAGACTTGTTTGTTAATAGCTTCGGGCACTTCTCTTTTGTACCATGAAATCTTGTTCAGGCGCTCTTTTTTTTACAGGGTTGCCCTCCCTCCTACTGTAATTTAGTAACCCTTGGCGCGCATGCGAGGGTTATAGTACTTGGTTTGTCATTCCGTCCATCAAACGTTATGGCATGAAAAGCAAGTGAACAAGCCAATATGCAAATTAGCACAGACTTACCTCGACCGGGTTCGCTTGCTCTGTGTACTTCGGAGGCACAAGAAGCCACAACAAAGGGCGTGTATCGACTGCCGCAAAAAATAGTGGAAAAATCATTTCTTCAAAATGAAGGGGATATATAATTATAAGGATGGCTCGAAGCACCAAAAACGAAAGAACAAGGGTTTGTTAAAACGCAAAAACACACAAAGCATGATACCATCCCTGTATCTTTGTCATTATAGACTCATACCAAAATAATAGATATAGGGGTGGTATCATGTGGCTCTGTGCGTCTTTGCATTTTAACAAACCCTTGTTCCTTCCTTTTGCATTTGAATGTATAGATGTGCTCCCTACTATCGAACAAAATCCACGTCTTACAATAACCACAACTAGCCATCATAACCTACCTTCTATTGTTTGTTTAGCCAAAAACTGTGGATTTTAGACGTTGGGCTATCAATAAAAATGTTTAGATGTACTGCTAATCATAACCACATCCAGTCATCATCCCCTACATGCTTTTTCCTTATATAGCTTAAAGTTTTGACTATCAGCTGAGACGATGCACTGTGTCCTTAGCACCTTTGCAATCCAAATGAAAAGCACTAAAGTGCAAATCCTAGGCGAACTGCGCATGCGCGATACAGCTAATTGATGGGCTGGGCTATTAGTAACGCGGGTTGCGATATGCGTACGTACGTCGTCAATTAGTCACGCTTAGGAATGTAAATTAGTCACCAAAAAGAAGTGTAACTTCCGTCATTCGTAGGAAGTCTAGCTTCCGCCGTGCGCGCAGATTCGTAGGAAGTCTGGCAGTCAGTAGAGCGCGCGCACAAGCGGCCTCAGTCAGACTGTTTACGCAATGACTGGCAGGCGCGAGGAAAAATATGCGCGTGCGCATTCCTATACTCGTGTTCTCCAGCTAGTAGTGCGCGGAGAGTCTCTGCGTGCTCTGCGTACCTCGGAGGCACCAGAAGATGAAACGCAGGGGGTGTATCGCCTCTCGCATGCTATCTAGTAGTGTAGTTAACCCGCGTCAGACTCTGCGCGAGCTGGTAAGAGACCACGAGTAACAGCTAAAACTAAACCCAGCCCATCAATTAGTGGTATGGCGCATGCGTTTATCAATCAATCATCATTGCACGGACCCACTAAGGCATGGCAGGTATATACATACATACACAAGACAGACAAAACGTGTAGGGAGCGAAATCTAGCTGTACAATACAGAACTAGCACTGTCCGGCGCGCATGCGCAACGAGAGTTCTGTAGTTGGGTGTCTGTCTGTCTGTCTGTCTATCTGTCTGTCCATGCTCCAACTCACTTCTGGATGGTTTATTCGTCCCACAAACGATACGAAGTAATAACTAGTGGAAATGCTTGGCATTCTCTGGGCGAGCGGAGCGAGAACTGAAGTATAATCATACAACCATCATCATTACTAGCGTTAATATAGCTACGTACGTACAGGTAAAATGTTTCAGCAAGTAACAGAAGTTATTATGGTGTTGACATAATATTAGGTTGAGTCTTGCGCATACGTAGCTAGTGAAACTAGACCAGAAGAAAGTAGCAACGGGAAGGTAATGTGCCCATACCCCCTCTCCATCTCTTAATCGTCGCTGAAAAGACAAGCCTCTCTCTCTATCGTGAGGACTTTCGACGGCCGGCCGTTCTGTCTGTCTGCCTCTTGGGACAGAAGCAGTATCGTTGCCTTGGCCGCTCAAGATCTCGTAATGGTCCCTGAAAAGACGAGCCTCTCTGTCGTGAGGACTTTCGACGGCCGAGCGTTCTGTCTGCCTACCTCTTGGAGTATCGTTGCCTTGCCCGCTCTCGATCATCCCTGAAAAAGACGAGCCTCTCTGTCGTGAGGACTTTCGACGGCCGAGCATAATAGATAGAAAATTCGAGCCGAAGACACAATTCTCTGTCTGTTTTTATTCGACGAAGAACGCCATCCTCCGCGGATGAATCTATCTCCAACTGGACGGACAGGATGGAGAAAATATTCCGCACTTAACTGCTTACCGGGGCTGTCGCGTACACACAAGCAAGCCACCCTTCCAGGGGGGTGTATATAGTATTTGGCGGTCGTGCCTGGGCAGGAAGCCCTGCCCCCCAGCGTTAATTAGGGGGGAGGAGCGCTGGGTGGGCAAAACGCCCCCCCCCCAGCCCTGCCCAAAAGGGAGCCGTCAGGCCCCTCCCCCCAAATTAACTCCCACGAAACAAAATAATGATCATATGACCGCACACCCTATGACGCGACCTAACGCAATGCGCCAATACACGGGAGTATCCGGTGAGCTGTTCCCGAGGAATCCGGACGTATTGCAGATACGCCGTACTCTCCCACCTCCCCAGGGTTTTGATAACACTGTCCTCAACCCCTCTTGCTGCTGCCGTTGTCGCAGCGCCGATTCGGAAGCTATGACCGCAATAGCTCCCCTCGTTGGTCCCAGCAGCGCCGAGAGCGTCCCGTACTTGCGCCACGAACCGACTCATTGTCAAAGGGCGTCCATCCGCGAACTTGAACAGTGGGCCGGACCCCGCCCCGCGGACGACCAGATAGCTCAAGAGTGCCGCTACGGGGCACAAATCCGTGTGCGTGCGACCGAGAAATAGGTTGACACCACGACGGAAGGGGTCTGTCTTAGACTGTTTTATCCTCACCCGCACAAAGGATGGGGAGGATGTCTCGTCGATGGCGATGTCGTCAAAGCTCAAATGAACACTCTTGTCGTACGCTCCGGCGTCGGGCACAGTCATTTCGCCTGCCCGGAGAAAACCGAAAAAGACCGTGCAGCAGGCCGCCCAGATCATTTTCGCGTCGTGACCCGCAGTCGATACGCCTTTCAGCCTCAACAACGGAGGCGTCATCGGGAGCCTCGTCCTCTGGCTTCCGCCCCTCTCCGCCCCCACCCTCTTGACACCCTCCATGGTGTAGCCTAATCGTGGCATATGAGACAGAAACGGGTCGGGAAAGCCCGACCTTATGTGGAGAAAACGGCCGCCCGACAAATAGGTCTTAATCGTACGGTGCTTCAAACCTTCACTAGCTAACAATGACACGAATTTGCAGAGCATAGCCTCTGATGAAGGGAGTGGTGTCCAGTCACCCGACCGACAAAACCGAAGATAACGATTCTCGCCAGACTTGTACGACTTCTGGGACGAAACAGCTAGACCTTTCGCAAACCCACGCGGTCGATATGAGAGGCGCGTGCCCTCACGTGCCTCAATACCCCATACCCCACTCACACACAACACCACGCATGCGCGCCCCTCTGCAGTTAACTGGGTCTAAAGGGGGTTTAACGCCTATAGTATATAATAAGAAGCGCGTAATATTAACGCATGCGCACTAAGACGACGACGGTGCGTCGTATATATATATAGATAGAAATTCGAGCCGAAGACACGACTAGGTGGGCTCGCTCCACTCGCCCAATAATAGTCAGTTTTATTAATCGAACGGTTTTCTCTGAAAATGCTCCGTTGCAGAGATCTGAGCATAGTAGCTACGCGTACATTCCGCCGGCCATTTTTCACTCGCGGAAAACGAATTACGACCACGTGGCCGTCCGGACGTCTCCGTGTGTGCCGTGAGTTACGATTTCCCCTGGCTATCATGCCCCCAAGCAAGGTTTGCCCACAATGTCAATCTAGCGTACCACTAAATGTAAATGTTGCCAACATGTGTTCCAAAGTAAGAAAAAAGCAGAATATAGTTTGTCTGACCAAGCCACGAAACGCATGAGAGTGTCCAAGGCCACTAAAAGAGCGTCAGAAACAAGCAAGCAAACTTTGCACAGACAGCAGCAGGACAGAAAGCACAAAGCAGCACGAGAGCCAATGAAACAAGTGAGCAAAGTGTGCATATAAAACAGAGGACGAAAGTGCAAAGCAGCACAGAGCCATGAAACAAGTGAGCAAAGTGTGCATATAAAACAGCAGGACAGAAAGTGCAAAGCAAGCACGAGAGCCAATAAAACTAGCGAGCAACGTGTGCATATAAAACAGCAGGACAGAAAGCATAAAGCAAGCATAGTTGACAAAGCTGCTGTAATAGCAAGTGTGAAAGTGACTTTGCCGAGTGTTTGCACTTTAGTGCTTTTCATTAGTTTTTGTTTTGATGCAACTCTGAACTTCAAAGCTGATATAATATTATTATTATTTTTATTATGACTTTACAGCGGTAACAGAAGCAGACAGGGCAAATGAAATGTGGAATGGTGGTGAAGGTCTGATGGTGATATAAACCAGCAGCCTAATAAAACTTTAGAGAGAAGGAGTCAAAATTGAAGGAGACTGGGAGTGACCAGCATTTAGCACAAAGACAGAAGTAGTGGAAAGAGCACACATTGTAGGGATCAAAGTTCATAGTGAAATGGTTCCAAAAATATTTGTAGAGTTTACTTTTAATAGTTGTTATTGGTTGACTCATGTCAAGAGGAGAGAGAGTTCCAAAGGCGAGGAAGGCGATAAAGTAGAAGTTTCGAGTAGAGTTATTGGTTGCAACTAAAACGTGTTTCAATAGGAGGCAGAACGAGTTTGGCCTGAACAAAATGTAACAAATCTGGATATGTCGAAATGATCAGATGGCTCCTTCAAGGACTTAATAAAGAATAGTACGTCATTAATTTCGAGCACCATCATTAGTGGAAGCCATTGAAGGTCAAGCAATCGAAGGTGTGAGTTAGAATCATAGCAAAATTTGGTGGCCCGTCTCTGTACATTTTCCAGAGCTTTAATATCAGTCAGAAGGTGAGGACGCCAGATAGGTGAGCAGCAGTACAGTAGTTTTGATCGAATGAGGGATACATACAGAAGTTTCTTAGCCTGGGGGTAGTAAACAGACGAGAAGATTCTTCTAAGTAAGCCAAGTTCTTAGCCATAATAGACACATAATTGTCTCTCCATTTGAGGTCAGGAGTCAACACAACACCTAGATCGGTATGAGCTGTTTTCCTTAGCAGTTGGGTGTTGTTCAGATCGTAGTTGACTTCTCCAATGCTTTTAACTCTGTTGATCGGAAGTGTATGTTTGCTGAGGCTCGGTCTCGTATCCCCTCCATGTCAGCCTGGTTTGAATGTTGCTATGGCATCCAGCCGCTTCTACATTTCGGCGACGACATTATTCGCAGCTGCTGTGGGGTCCAGCAAGGTGACCCACTGGGCCCGCTGGGTTTTTCCCTCGCCCTACAGCCCATTCTTGAGCAGATCAATCGAGATGTTCCAGGTCTCCTCATGAACGTCTGGTATCTAGATGACGGGACTCTCTGTGGCCCTCTGAGTGATCTCCGTGCGGCGCTTGACATCCTTGAGGCTGAGGGGCCTTCCCGTGGTCTGCTGCTTAACCGGAGCAAATCCCTTCTCATCATCCCCCCTGATGCTTCACCCCCCTCTTCGTCTCTTCCCCAGGGTGTTCCTGTCTCCGATGGCGGTTTTGTGCTTCTGGGTTGCCCTATAGGATCTGCCTCCTTCTGCACCTCCACAGTCATGAAGAGGATTGCCAAAATTCAGGACACCCTCGTGAATTTGAGGGACCTCCAAGATACCCAAATGGAAACCGCTCTCTTGCGGTCCTGCCTCTCCCTCCCCAAATTTCCTTCACTCTCCGCACCTGTGCCCCTAACCTGATTCATCCTGCACTTGCAGCCTTTGACAACATCATGCGGGACTCCTTGGAAGACCTCTGTGGGGGCCCCATCTCTGACTGGAGCTGGTTGAAAGCGTCGCTGCCTGTCTCTTTGGGTGGCCTTAATCTCCGTCAGGCCCCCCTCCACGCTCCTGCAGCTTTCATTGGATCCCTCGCTCTCTCCAACCCCCTCGTTGCCCAAATTCTCCGCCACCCTCCTCCTGTCCCCGCTAGTCTCCCTTCCTGCCTGGCCACTCTTGCTGGGGCAGCTGGGCATCCTGAGTGGGTCTCTCTACAGGACATCGATGTCCCCCTCCGGCAGCGCTCCCTCTCATACGAAATTGACCAGGAATCTTTCGACCTTCTTCTCTCCTCCCCCCATGACACCCGTTCTCTGGCCCTTGCCCAATCGTGTTCTCTCCCCCATGCTGGTGATTGGCTGAACGCTGTTCCTTCGCCTTCCCTCGGCCTTCACTTCATGGATCGTGAGTTCCGGGTTTACCTACAATATTGGTTGGGGGTCCCGATTTTTGAGGAGGGGGTGAAATGCGGCGTTTGTCACTCAGCTGCTGACCCCTTCGGTGACCACCAGGTCGGTTGCGGGGGGAACGGTGATAGAATCCTTAGGCACAACTCTGTATGTGATTCCATTTTTCATGCCGCCCGCTCCGCTGCTTTGGCTCCGCGAAAGGAGGTCCCTTCTCTCATCCCCGGATCACAGAGCCGCCCTGCCGACATCCTTCTTCCTAATTGGGAACGGGGTCAACCAGCTGCTATGGATGTGACCGTCATTTCCCCCCTTCAACCCCTCACCCTTCAAGGGGCCGCTTCCTCTGCTGGCCATGCCCTCGCTGTTGCGGAGCATCGAAAGATGTCAGCCCATGCCCCCGCTTGCCGCGCTGTTGGGGTCTCTTTTATCCCCCTTGCTTTTGAGGCCCTGGGCGGCATGAGTGAGGCCACAACCACCTCGTTGTCCAGAATTGGTCGCCTCCTAGGCCAGCGTTTAGGGGTCTCTCCCGCGGACTCAATTCGTCACCTCCTCCAGCGCTGCTCTGTTTCTCTCTGGCGTGGGAATGCCGCTCTTTGGCTCCATCGATTCCCCATTGGCCCCCCTTCTATTGACAGCATCATTTAATCTGTTTGTTGTTTCGTTTGTTTTGTTTTGTTTTTATTTGTTTTATTTTTTTTCCACCAAAAAAAAAAAAAAACCAAAAAAAAAACCCGGTACGCATGCGTATATTAGGCGCGATCAACGCGGCTCACCTCGACCTGATCCGCTTGCTCTGTGGGCACAAGAAGCCACAGCGAAGGGCGTGTATCGACTCCCGCGTGCTATCTACTACCGTGGGTAGCCCGTGTCAGACTCTCCGCGAGCTACTAGCAGGAGACTGCGGCGGGTAAACGGCAATAGAGCCCAGCCCACAATTAGCGTAACCGCGCATGCGTAGTTCGCCGAGGGTTTGCACTTTAGTGCATAGAAATAGGTTTGATTTGATGCAGGCGCCATTCGGCAAGGATGTAGGACTGAGAGAGGCTGAGACTAAATAGATGGTGAAGAGGCTGGTATAAAGCAGGAGCACAGAGCTTCAGTACCTTAGGACCAATTCTATGTTAATGTTTGGAATACTTCTTCTTGATAATGTCACTAAGGTTAGTAAAGATAATAGGCAATTCTTGAGGGTCCGGACGACTGAAAGAACTCCTGGTAAAATAGAGTGGAAGTATCTGTTAAATACATTAGCCTTTTCTTGATCAGATTCAGCTGCAATGTCATTAAAAACAACAGTAGTAGGGATATTGTTCTGGCCAGTAAAATTTAGAACATATCTGAACACTTTGGAAGTACCATTGGAGCGGAGGGACATCAGCAACTGGGATGCAAATTTAGACTTTGCTGACGGTATATTTTGCTACAACTTATTTGCTATAAGAACAGACAAGCTTGGAGAGATAATGGATTTCAGAAAGAAGATAAGATTCACTACAATTGGGAGGAATATAAACAGTACATAAAATAAGGTTACTTGATAATAGCCTGATAGATACAAATTTCACAATCGGTAGGAGTACGAACAGGTGAACTAGGTATAGAGCTATGAACAGCAATAAATACACCACCACCCCGAGATAGCCGATCATTACGGTACAAAACGTAATCAGAATGAAGAACTTCATGATCATAAATCGAACTGGACAACCAAGACTCAGAAATACAGAAACATTAAAGTTAGAAGTATAAATGAACGACTGAAAATTGGATAATTTATTGACAATGCTACGAATATTATACAAACATTCACATCACATGTTAGTCATTGGTTGTGGGAGGGTAGGTTTGATTGCTCCAAGGGTAACAGGGATGCTATCAGTACACTGTAAATTTCGTTGTGCATAATTATTGCATGCACCTACCTAAATAGTGTACTGTGTAATGACGATGATAGTAGCAAACTGTATTGGCTCAAAACAACAATTCATTTTGATGATTATAACATACTCAAAAAGCAAACAGGTGACTATGAAACTACAGATTTAATGAAACGTTCATATGTCTTACTTCCAGGCTTCTTCAGCTTAAAGTTTAGGAGTTTCTCATCAAAAACATTGAACATATTGATGTGTCGTTGAGGGTATTTTACATCAAAAACATAAAACACGGCTATTAAACTAACAATAGCAAAGCCAATAAGGGGCACATCTTTTTCAGATTTTATACTGCATAAAATCAGACCTTCTGCAATAATGATCCCACTTTTGGGGGTGTTGTCCAGTACACCCTCCAAGATTACAAGTCTCGGTGCTGGTTCAGCTTTTTGTTTCAAAATTCCATCAATAGGAGTGGTAACCTATACTCGTGTGAGTATGTTTGGAAAGAGGTAGGTTGGGCAAGTAACATCACCCCAAGAAATAATGGTATATACTGTCATGCAGCTTTTTGTTGTCTTAGCTGCCCATCATTTCATATTTTGAGCCATTCTCAAGTGGGGAGATGGACAGACCAACCAACCATTCTGAATACCTTGACTATAGCTGGAGAGTGCATTTAGGCTTTTATACCATGCTATACATTACTGGTATTTGTTGTTAATGTAAGTACACTGTGAATGTGCAGTACCTAATTCCAACGATGGCAAATAAGGCAATTTAAGGAAGCATAACACAAAAGAGTATTTTTTAATCACGATAACTGTGCAATGATTCTTTACATCTAACATTAGCATACAATATTAAAAGAGTAAAAGTGCACAGAGATGTACTTACAGGTTGGGCACTAATAAGCCGAGCTAAATATTTTGAGGCAGTACATGTCAATTTTGTCTCAGCATCAATCATAAACTTCAGTTTTTCTTATGGTGTTTCTGCTGATGATGTGAGTTTGTAGAAAATTTCTAGCAACCAATTTGTCAAACTCATGGATTAACTGCAAAGTGGGCATGGAAAGGAAAAAGCATCTGAATGTTGTGTATACTAGAATATTATGTTAGCTCATGCCACGCATGATCTAAAAGAAAGAAACTGGTAAGTGTGACTTACACATCTTGGTTTTCCAAATGCAGGAAATTTGCCAAGAACCTCATGTATCATTGGCAATTCATTCAAAAGCCACTGCCGTCTTTTCTCAAAGGTGGAATCCATAAGTGCAAATAGCCGGTTCTCTCTTGTTTTACCCCTCTCACACTCCTTTTTGAGTTCTTCTACTTCTTCTTCATAAGCCTGTATGAAAAAAGAAATGTTCGGAAAGTAGCAAGCATGAATTAAGAGCAGTATATACACATGTGTATTGGGGTATGAAGGAGACACCATGTATACATAATTGTCGTACGTACACATACTACTGTATACCTGTGGGTATAACTATTTGTACTTGCGACCTTCACTCATTGTGCGCGGATTGCTTATAAATAATTAATGAGGTGGAGAAAGTTGTTCAAAGAAAAGATTCAAAACGATGACCCAGGAATCAAACCAGAGACCTGTAGCTAAGTCATTAACCCCACACACAACCACCACGCTATGGTCAGCAGTATATATGCCACTGCTGAGAAAGAATATAGATCGAGTACGCATTAACAACAGTGTATAGTTGCCATTGCCAAAATGTGTGCACTAAATTGTGCTCACCTGCTCATCAGAATCATTTATGTTAACAGAAACATCATCTGGCTTTGATTGACACTCACTCTGCATATTTTTACAGGCAGACAGGCAAGTAAAGGAAATCAACAAGAGCACAAGACATTGCAGTATTTTTCCACACTTTTATACAGGTGTACACATTGAAGGTGACAAGTACAAAAGGAGAGGAGATGGTCTTGATGTGACTAACAATGCACATTATTAAAAGGCAGATTTATTTCTTATTTACAGATAAAATTATGTCTCTTGAGTCTTACACTTACATTTTGTGATGGTTTTAGGTCATCTTCTGCTGAATTGTTATCATCGTCTGACCTAGCATTCTAAAACAAAACGATTCTGACATTTTGAGCTTTTTTTTCAGAGGCAGTGAATTAACTGCCTAAGGAAGATGAACATGGTATATAGCATAAGTGTTCCTCACTACTGCATCCCACCTCCAACTCATCATTATTTTCTTGCTTGTCTACTTTTTCTGAAGGAACTGAATTTTCCCTGTCCTGCATAAAACATTTTCCTCTGATATACTGCAAAGCACAATGAATATAACTTGCCTTTTGCTTATCATCTTCCATTGTTTCTTCAGAAGAAAGGTCAGAACCATCTTGTTGCTAAAGGGTACTTTGTGATATAGAATTAATAACGCAATACATTATAATCAAACCTGTGCTTTTTTTCAGTGATCATTTTCAAATATTTCGACTTTTTAGCTGGCTTTGTTGGTCTCCTCATATTCCTAAACCTTTGTGAGAACTTACTGGAGAGCTTCTCCTGAATAGTATGCAATAGTTTTTGACACACATTAAAGGGGTAGACGAGACTTAAAGGTGTGGGGCCTTATGTTATATCAATGGTGTAAAGCCTGAATCGTTTACTTTATGACTTGTATTTGGTGTATCGGCCAAAGATGGACAAACGTCAATGCATTGCTCAGCCATTTTTGCATACTCTGTTGGAGTCGGGTTGGGCTGTTGGGCAAAGAAGTGGGTCGACATGTATCGTACAAATCGGGCCTTTTCGAGGGTTGACATATCATTATTTGTGATAGCCGCATCCAGGTCAGCTGGATATGCTTTCGGCATAATGAACTTGGATACTTTAACCTTCTTAGGAGCTGCCTGAAAAAGACAGTGGAATATATCAGAATTTTGTAGTTAGTTTGCAGTTGTCAACAGAAACTAACCTTCTCAGATGGTTCCACAGAAAGAGTCCGCTGCATTGACATTAAAATACAAATGGAACGTGTACAGGCTTTTAACTGCTGAGTACATATATTTTCTAATACCTTCAATGTTTTGGAATGACAAGCTAATGGTCTTTGTGGTGTTGTATCATCTTCATGTCTGTTTAAAAATATAATAAAGCCCTGCGAAACAAAGTAACTGTCACCTTGATGAAGAGTTCTGTGGGTTCTTCTAATCAGACGGAAATCCATTAGAAAACTTTTCGTCATAAAAACTTACTATTATCATAAAGGGGCAAAATAAAATATCAAAGAACCTATATAGTTGTGTACTGAAACCTACCTCCCGATGTGTTTCCTTTTCCAACAAGACGATAAACGGTTCCAGACTGTGTCTGTACTTCATAACGATGGATTCGCTTTGTAATAGCACTTGTGGTCCAGTACAAGCCATCCTCAGAACATCCTTTAACTGCAATGGCACCGTTTCTTTGTAAAACAAACCAGTTTCTTAGTTGTTTTACTGATTGGGAGGGCTGAAAACAGGTAAAGAGAAATGTGACTAAACTTGGTAAACACTTAAGAATACAGCACAGATGATCAGTGCACAGAACAACTAGGCTCAATGCATGTAGATGGCCACAAGCGTTTTACTCACCCACACACAGCCACACACCTCAAAACCAACACACTACAAGTTATTGTATTTTCCATGTAGCTTAATGCGTACTTAACATGTCTCCTGATATGCAGAAGGACATGCAACTGGATATGCATTGTGCGCCTTTAAGACAAACAAACTGTTTGCAGGTAGTGGTACGTCATGCAGGAGAGTTTATTTAGGAAAGGGAAACTTCAAAGGAATGTTTAACAAATCTTACAATCTTACATATTTACACTTAGCATTTAGCGAGGAATGCTGGTAGCTAATGAAACCCCAGTCATTATGCCGAAAGGCAGAGGCAACATTCAGAGTACAACCCTGAGTCGTTTTATCGAACACGATGCACTGAAGTTCTTCACTGCCGCTTTTATCCTCAACCGGGACGCCAAGTCAGGAACAAGTTCCTTAAACTCTATATGAGATTCTTCGCGTATAAGTTCAAAGAGTACTTTCCCATCAATTCCTGCATCTAATAAAAGAAGATAATGGCTCAGTTCCCGCCTCTAACAAATGCGCGACAACTTAACTGCAATGGTCCCATTATCAACTCCCGACCTTTCCAACGAATCGCACAGTTCCTTCGCCGAAAGTTCCATGGAAATAGATGTCGGAGAACAAACAACAGTACTAACTAAACGCAGCGTTGTTAGAAAAAAGCAGCCGGCCTTTCTTGAATGATGATTTGACACGCTAAGTTGCGGCGCATTAGCGAATAATCATGGCTTCGGGACTTCAAGAGTGTGTGATGTGTAGTTACTTCTGCGGTAGCAAAGAAGAGTTACTAGAACATGTAGTAAAGGTGCACAAGAACGAAAGCAATTTCTTGGTCTACTGTCAAGAGGCTGGTTGTGGAGAATTTTTCACAAAGTGGGATGCTTTCAAGAAACACCTCATTCGCAAGCACTCTGCGCAAGGAACAAAAATGAACATGGTAACTGTTCATTATTATTCTAAGTGCTAGTGGTAAACTATACCTTTGGTGCAGATGCAATGCCCGGTTGCCTTTACATGGAAGAATCTTGCCATGATAATGATTTCGATTGCTGTTCTATGGATGGTGTGAGTGTGTGTAGCAGTTCTTCGCCAAAGAAACAAGCTGGTTGTCAACCTAGATCTGCCAGTGTAGGTGCCTCGCCGATGAAATTAGTTGCTTGTGAAGCTACTCCAAGATCTGATCCAGCTAAAAGTGCAGCAGAATATGTCCTCTGTCTCCGGCAAGGGCACCATATTTCACAAGCCGGTGTTGAGAGAGTAATACAGCACACAGATATGCTTATTAAAAGCACAGTTTCCGCTGTTGAGTCACGGCTTAATGAATTTCTGTATGACAACAACATAGAGTTGAACTGTAGCCTATCCGAAATATTCCAGAGTGAATTGCCCCCTGCTTTGGCAGTGTTGCTACAGTCTCACAACAGCGAAAGCAATTTAATCATTATTTTGGCCTACTGGTAAGTCTTTATAATTATAGTAACGTATGAATGTAAAAATAAGAACCTACCATTTGTATAAAAGCGTGCAATGTCTCACTACTGTAACAGCAAAAGTAATTTAATTACAACACTGAGCATGCAGTTCGTGTCCTGCGTTTCAAGGATTATACTCTTTTTTACATGCAGGAACCCATGCCTGTAATTGTTAATGATGTTGGTAATAATTGTTCCAGCAGTCATTGGGGATGGAATAAGCAAAATGAGATGTTTACTTTCAAAAATGATTATGGCTATTACATACCTTTGATACAAACTTTGAAAAATTTGCTTCAAAATCCTGAGGTTTTTAGGGATATTTTATCACCGCATCATCAAAGCGGCAATGATCTTTGTGACATATGTGATGGTTATTATGTGAAGGAAAACTTACCAGAAACAAATACGGACATTCCTCTCCTGCATTTGATCGCCTACTATGATGGTGTTGAAGTTGTTAATCCTCTAGGAACCAAGACAAAGAAGCACCACGTTTCTCTCTTTTACTGCATGGTTGGAAACATTCCTCCAATAAAGCGATCAGCATATCAAGCTATATTTTTGGTTGCCGTTTGTAAGACAAAGCATTTAAAAGAGCATGGCATTTTTTCCATTCTAAGGCCATTCATTCGTGACTTGCAGGTTTTGAGTTCACAAGATGGGTGCTCTGTCAGAGTGGATGACACCACAATAAAATTTAGAGCAGCATTAGTAGCATTTTGTGGTGATACCCCAGCTAGCAACTTTATTGGAGGTTTTAAAGAAAGTGTAGGTGGTGCTTATAGAGGATGTCGAGAATGTATGGCCACAAAATTTGAAATGGGATCAGTGTTTGTGCATGAGGAATGCCCTTTACGAGATGAGATTTCTCATGCACAAATGTGCACAGAACTTGATGGTCTGTCTGGAAAATAATTTATTCAAACAAGCAAAACTAACAGGAATAAATTTTCGCAGTCCACTGCATGAGCTTCGATACTTTCAAGTTACTAAATGCTTTCCACAGGACGTAATGCATGTCCTTTTAGAAGGTGTGGTTCCTACTGAATTTACCCTGTTCTTAAATCATGCACTGGAGAAAAAGTATACTTCTCCCTCTCAGAGCTTAATTCAAAAGTTGAAAATTTCAACTACAGCTACAATGAACGGAAGGATAAACCGAGTCCAATTCAAAAAGAGGCCATTCAAGGGTTTAAAAAAATTGGACAGAATGCTTGTCAAATGTGTCTTTTTTCGATTCTACTGCCAATATTTATTGCATCCACAGTTCCAATAGGTGATCAGAACTGGGTATGTTTTTCAATTTTGCTTAAAAAAATTGGACAGAATGCTTGTCAAATGTGTCTTTGAATCTAACTATAGCCTAAAGTAGGTTGAAACAGCCTTTCCTGTAAAAATGTGCAAAAACTGTTCAGTATGTCATTTCAATGAACGTGTTGCTTTTGCACAGAGATTGCTTAAAAGCAGTGCATAGAAGTAACCTGTTACAGTGTCTGTGTTGGTGTGACACAAACAACTAATATGATATTCCATCTCCGTGCTGTTTTTACATCATCAAGATGTGCTACTTTATTTCTAACACGTAATATCAACACACTATTGACATGTGCTAGTTTGGCATCAAACCTTGCATGCTGTTTTGAAAGAAAAAAATTATTTGTGCCATTATTACACCCTAGGCTAATTTGTGTTGAAACAATAATGTGTTTTTTCGACCTGAACACAAAATGTGCAAAACAATTTAGTGTGTCATTTTAAGGAATATGTTCATTGTGCACAGACCTCTCTTGAAAGAAGTGTGTAGAATTCACCTGTTATAGTCTCTGTGTTGATGTGACACTATCAAATATTATGTTACTGTTTCACATAATCAAGGTGTGTTAGTTTTAATATCAGCACACTATAGACCCTGGTGTGTAGTGTGCTAGTTTTGGCATGAAAGTCAGTGTGCTATATGGAAATTAGACAAAGTTATTTGTGCGGTTATCACACACAATGCCAAGGCTAATGGGCGTCATAAACAATTCAGTGTGTCAATTACAATGAATGTGTTGATTTTGAACATACTTCGCTTAACCTTCAGTCTCTGTGTTGATGTGACACTATCAACTAATGTGTTATTTCATCTCTGTGCTGTTTTCACAGTATCAAGGTGTGTTACTTTATCACACTATAGACCTTGCTGTGTAGTGTGGTAGTTTGGCATGAAAGTCAAAGTTATTTGTGCCATTATTACACAGAATTGCCCTAGGCTAATGTGTGTTGAAACAATGTATGTGTCAGTTCGACTTGAACACAAAATGTGCAAAGCAATTTAGTGTGTAATTTGCAATGAATGTGTTGATTTTGCACAGACTTTGCTTAAAAGAAATGTGTAGAATTCACATGTTTCAGTTCCTGTGTTGATGTAACACAATCAACTTATGTGTCATTCAGTCTCCGTGCTGTTTCGACATTACTAATGTGTTACGAAGATGTGTTGTTTTTAAAACAACACATGTGGTGTGCAACATTAACACACCCCAAATCTTGGAGTATCAAACCAACCTATTAGCTACACACTACTTCCTCGACACAATTTTCTAAAAACAGCACATTTTTCACATCCTACACACATTGGTGTGCTGAAACTACATAACGGAATTTACAGTGTACTGGACGATAACCAAAGGGGAGTAGAATGAGGCGTCAAATCAGCAACTACAGTAGGTTGTGTATCAAGCGTAGATACAGGTACAGGTGATATAGAGTGGGATGTTAAGGATGTTGGTTTGGACAAGGTTTGAGAGCTGAGGTTGTTAGGGTGACCATTGACAGATATGTTCTGGACAGGTCTGTTGCTAGAGAGCACAAACACAGATTGAGAATAGGTGCCATATTTGACATTGTTGACAAAAAGTTTTGCTTTGGAAATTTTGATTGCACGCTTCGGGACACCAGAGCTGATATGCTTTAGAAGCGTGGACTCCCTTATCCTTCTTCCCGGGTCATGTCAGGCTTGACTACAATAGGGGATTTTGCTGCCCATCTTTTTGCTAGGACCTTTGAGACATCCTCAATCCGAACGAACTTCACTAATAAGGGTCTGGGCCTTTCCTGGTCAGCACTATACTTCCCAAGGCGGTAACAATCTTTGATTGAACTGGATTTCAGGGACCCATCTATGTCCACAAGAACAGACTCAACCTTCGAGAGGTCAAACGCAAGCCTATCAGGCTATTTTGCACCCTGGCGACATTCCTCAATGGCAAAAATAACTATGTTGAACTTTCTAATGGCCTCGAATGTGTCTTTGAAATTAAGGTTTAGATTGCTCTATCAGGTGATTACTTGGCTCACCAGTAGTAACTGCAGAAGCATAGCTACCTGGCGAAGTAGGGTCAGACACATGGGTGTCTTGAGAGGGCTTAGAAGACTCCAGGTCGGAAACCAGCGAAGAGAGCCGGGCCACTTCGTTCCGCAGTTCCAATTTCATCATCATGCGAAATCTGGTGGCAAGCGAAACAACGGAACTGACGGCCCTTCTCTCTGATAGCTTTGTAGGCCATCACGCTGACTCCTGCACAGTAGCGATGAGCCCATTGCTGACAGGAACCAGCACAAAACAGCGCTTCATCTTTAGCAGGGTTGAGGCTCTGGCAACAGACGCAGCATGTCTCGGCAGACGTCTTAGATGACACGGAGGCAGTAACCGCAGCAGTCTTGGAGGCAGTAGAAGTTTTAGAAGTCGTTCCTCTCCACATCTTCGCTCTCCTCTCCCCCTTCTCCCAGAGTTGGTATAATATATCCACAATCATCAACACGAGGAAAAGAACCAGCGGCAATAATTGGCATTAATGGCTTGGTACACCTATGGACACATTTCACCAGGCAGCACACTAAGTAATGGCTTTGCAATAACAGCATTATCCAAGTAATGGTTGAGCCTGAATTTTCATGGGGCGAAATTGATGTATGACAAAATGGTGAATGTATAGCCCTCGATCACCCTATGGTGCTACTGAATTTTCATGTGCGTCTTTGCTGCATACCTCACATACTATAACTGTTATCCAAAGACAAAACACAAGTACAAGTGGTTTTTTGTGTGTTGTTGTGCCATTAGTTGAAGATCTGAATGTGATTGTTCCCATTATCACTGACATACAGTGTTCCCTTCTTGTCTACTGCTAGTCCATATGGACCATCAAACTCCACAGGACATTTTCCCCCCTCTTCCAAATGACTTGATAAACTCTCCATCAGTAGAGAATACTGATACACAATTATTCTTCCATTCACCCACTTACACCGCATTGTAGGAGTCAATAGCAATGCTGACAGGCTCGTTTAGTTCTCCCTCTCCTTTTCCCTTCTTCCCAAACTGCCTCAAGTACACTCCATCAACTGTGAAGACCTGGATTCTGTGGTTGTACTGATAAGCAACATACACATTGCCTTCTTCGTCAATAGCAATGTCATGAGGATAGTCAAGCTCTCCGTTGCCAAAGCCTCTGCTGCCAAAACTACTAAAGTATGTGAGGTACTGGAATTGAAGAGGTCCACTGCCCCTTTTACCGATTTTTCTGAGGTGTTTGCCACGATGACACCTGCTGAATACGATGGTTTATAAAGTCTGCCACAGGAACATTTCCTACACTGTCTATTGATATATCTTCAGGACAGTTGAACTGACCAGGACCCGAGCCACAAGTACCAAATGATTTCTTCCGTCCAATTGCCACTGATGATTGAGACAGAGTGACCACTGTGTTCAGCTACCACCACCTCCCCTCCCTCTATACCCCACAGTCTATTGAGGTCTCCAATGATACTGGTTGGTGCAGTGAAGTTGGGTAGAACGGTGACAGTGAACGGACTGTCCAAGATTGGGTGCTCTTCTATTGAAATGTGCAGTTGATGTTTTCCAGTGACCTGAGGCAGGTAGCTGACGTCGTAGGTGTTCTGGTTTCTTCTGTTCACAGTGCCCTTGACTCGACTGCTGCCATTGCTAGCAACAAGCTCACACCTCAAGCCGTCTACAGATCCGAGGCAGGCTTATCCCTCCCTAGCTACAGAAACAACCACTGTATGCCCTCTTGTGGCAACCTTGATGCCTTCACCTGGTGCTTGACACCGCTCGGGGCACACAACTTTACTAAACTGCTGGCAAACCTTCACCAGTTCAGGCAGAGTGTGAGAAAATTTCATGTTGGCTTGCTCGCCAAGTGCCAATGTCTCTGGCTTGAAGCTGCCCGCCAGATTGTTGACTTGTTTCACGACAAGACTCTTCATCCTCAGAATCTCCCCCTGGCTGCAAGTACATCTGTTCTCCTTGACAAAGTCCTGGCAGCTCCTCAGCCGGCCCAGTTGCAGTTCAAACCTGTCTCGCTGCACTGCCAAGGTCTTCAGTTTCTGCTGTGCCGTCTGCTCTGCTTGATCCACCAGCTCTGTCTCCCTCGCCTTTATAGCTTGTCACAGGTGTGCCATGCATGGTAGTACTACAGCCGTCTTCTGTTCTACGACTGCAGCACATCGAATGTCCACCGACTAAACTGCTCTTTTCCAATCTGTTCTTCCACTGGCTTGAGGGAGTCCACGATCACTTTCTCTTGCTTGGAAAACGACTCGGGCACCAGATGGTACTGGTGGTCGCAATGAGAGCACAGAACGATGGACAGTCTCCGCCCGCCCTCAACATATCAAATCGTTGCATGTGTCATCACAGTAGAGGTCTATGCCACTTGTTATCACAGCGTGCTTTGGAGCAAAACACGAGCACTTGTTGAGAGGCGAGAACGAGACTAGAGTGGTCACGTCTCCGGTTAAGGGTCCAGGTCCCCATGGATTCAGGTTTGAATCTCCCTCCATTCCTGATGGATTTTCCTTGTGCAGCGTTGGCATGATGCAAACCCACAAGTGCGGCACAAAGCAACTGCCTCACGTATTTGAGCACGTGTTCACACTGTTTGTTCGTGGAGCGTCACTTTTTGAGGGGCATTCACTTGGATGTCGAAGAGGTCGGGGATGGGACATGGGGACTGTTGTGCCCTCTGGTCCACATGTAACATACAAGGTTGCAGCACGGCTCGCACATCTACCGTGGCAACCACTAAGCAGCACGGTATTCTTGTTTTAAGCTCCAGCACATCGCTACGAGCAAGAAGCGTTACTGCGGTCCTGTGCACCGTGTGCGAGAGACTTTCTTGGCTACTACCCGTGGCCAGTTTAGCAGCCCATGGGCATCTTTGTCAGACAATCTATACATAGAGGGAGGATTCTGGGTAAACGTGCTGACGCAAGCCACACAGTCCACGCGGGAAAGCGGCCCGGATGGGGCAAACTCCAAGACCTTTTAGTCACCCAACTATATACTCCAAGACTAAGCATGAGATGCGGGGAGTCAATAAAACCTCCCGGGACTGAGCTCACCAAGTCAACGAACGTAACTAAAAAGCAGCACCGTAAGTGCTGTACCACCTCCAGAGACTTCAAGGTGGCCGATGTATTGTCCTCAGTGCTTGCATGAAGTTTTGGCGTTTAAGACCACAGCCGGGTACACATGTGGCGCTGTTTGTTTAAACACTGTCAGTGAAGACATTATGCTGTACACAATGTCCTTGCTGTAGTATCGATAAGGGATGCTTGTAGTGTTGCACATAAGGCTGCCTTGATTCACTGA